CAAATGGATTGATATGATCATGTCCCAAAACTGGAGGTGTGTCAGGACTCCAATTCTACGAGACTCGTCTCTATCATTACTATCAGTATCACTGTTGGTCTCACGAACAGAGAGAGACAAAAAACCTTTCTCTTCTTCATTGTCCTCTTTGAAAGCATCGGACAACTGAGCCTCTAACAGAGTGTGTGTAGCTAAAAAACAAAATTAAAATAATTGTTCTAATTTAAACAGGGATATTAAAATTAAAGTGACATATAAATAAATTAATACCATTAATGAACAATACCTTCATTAAATGTTAAAATTAGTACTTGTGTAATGGACTAAATAAAATCTGTCTGGATTGTCCATTAGTTGGTTGTTGTACAGTTATTGGTTGTGTCATTTATTAATTGTAAATAAATATGGTTTGACCTTATCTATTTTGTGGAAAAATGGACTTAAAATATTGTACTAGCCCTAACATTACATTGATGCTGAAGTTAAATTCGGTTACACTCTTAAAGCATGCATCAAAAGGTCAAACCACCCCATGAGTTTCTTAATCAGCAATTTATATAATTCCTTAATTTCAAGTGATTATGTGAACACTAATACTTTAAACAGGTGTTACCTCCTTTGTCCCATTACTCATTGTTACATGTACCACTAGAGATCTGTTGGAAGAAGCTTGAGACTGTACAGTAGTGTAGGTTATCAGAGGAGGGGAGGAGGAGGAAAGGAAGAGGAGGAGCTGAGGGAGGTACTTATAGCTAGTGATTTGAAGAGTAAGAATACATAAAGTACTCATTTATTAGAGACAGGAGGGAAGGGAAACTGAATGATCTTATAACAAGACATGTGATGATTGTCAGAAAGGATTGGGCAAAAACTATGATACTAAAAATAATGAAGACTTTAAAGAAAAAATGACTACAAGATCTCTTTTTTAATATTATTTTCAAAAACCATTATTATTAAGTTTATTTCTATAAATATTATGCAGATTGCTGAGGCTTTAGGTATGCATATTATCATTTCTATTTCCTCTTCCATTCACCTTAGTTAATAATAATCATGAGGTGTGTGGGTGTATAGTGTATAAACAATGAATTCCAATTCCTAATATGGTAACAATGAACTAACAAACTGATCATAAGATATCGTTAGAGGACAAGTGTTGGGATGCGTTTAAGGATAGAGATCATAAAGAAGCTGTTCGCTTACTACCATTAGCGAAGGAACCAAATAAAATAAAAAGAAGTTATAAAGCATGAAATAATACTAGTTTACTTCATTTGTCTTCAAGGAATTGCTGGTTAGATATTACAAAAATTACTAAATACGTTCAAATTTTCGAGGGTTCAAAATTTCGTGTTTTCAATGAAATTTGCTCAAAAGTTAATATTCGTGTGAGCTAATTTTCGTGTTCTGGCCATAGTCTACATACAATAGAATGGCATTAGAGGTGGCTTAAATTTTGTGGATTTAAGGTGAACACGAAAATAACAAAATTTAATACACCTCGAAAATTAAGACGCATACGGTATCACTGTGACCCACAGGAAAGAGATGGTATAGGTCAGACTTGTCTTCATTATGCCACAGGATGTAATCATGTTGATGTGATGAAATATCTCATTGATAAGTGTAACTGTGATCTAATGACTGTTGACAGAAGGGGGCGGACACTACTTCACAAGGCTACTTATTGGGGTTGTTCTGCAGTTGTTGAATGTTTACTATCAACTGGTAAATGTGATCCATTGGCTAAAAACAAGTTTAATGACACAACATTACAACTAGCTAAAGGAAAGGTGGGACAAATACTCTTCCTATCTTTAAGAAGTTTGGTGATATAAAATCATCTCATCCAATTGATTCTTATGTTAACGTCCTCCTTGTGGGTAATCCTGGAGCTGGTAAAAGTACTCTTAGTCATGTCATAAATGATACAGCTAGTTTTACTCTTCTTGGTTCTTTTAGAAATGTTGGAGGGGTAGTGCCCTGTACTGCTGGCATCATTCCTTACAAACTACAACATAGGACACTGGGTAACATCATTCTTCATGATTTTGCTGGTCATCCAAAATACTACTCCAGTCACAGTGCTGTCATTGAGAATCTCTTACAAGGTTCTGGTGGTGTGTTTCTCATAGTAGCCAATATATTGGACAAGGAACCAGTCAAACAGCTTCATCAGTGGCTAACAGTTGTCACAAATGAAGCACAGAAAGCTCTTAATCAATGCCATGTTATTGTAATAGTCAGTCATGTGGATGAGATATTTAATCCTTTTGAAAGGAGAAGGAGAAAGGAAGAAATACAGGAGATTATTGTAACGGAAAGGTGTGATAGTGTCTTCTTAGATTGTCGTAAGCTTGGTGGGAGTGGTGTGGATTCCTTCTTTAGTAAGTTGTCTAGTGCCTGTGAGTCCATTCGTAGTACAAGTGGAAGGAATTTGAATCTTTATTGTCACATGATGTATGGTCTACTGGAGGAAAGGAAAGAGAATATACTGACCCTCTCTGATGTAATGTCTGCTGGTAAGGACAATGATGATTACTTTATACTAGATAAGAGAGAAGACGTCTTGGATGTTCTTGATTCATTGCACTCAACTGGTTTGATCAGTGTTCTTAAAAGTGAAGACAAGGTATGGGTTGTTGTGAATAAGGGTATACTACTAACTGAGGTGGATGGTATTCTCTTTGCTCCAGAGACATTCAAAGAACATGTTGACATTGCTAGCAATACTGGTATTGTTAGTGTGTCTAGTCTGGCTAGACTGTTCACTCAATATGATCCTGACATGTTAATATGTTTTCTGAAGAACATGGAACTCTGTCAACAAATTAATCCATCTTTCCTAACAATGACAAACCTCCATCAGTTAGCAGTGGAAAAGGAGGAGGAGGAGGGAGGGACAGAAATAAGAGGAGAAAGGTTGTTGTTCTTTCCATGTCTTTTGTGTAGAAATAGACCTGATGAGATGACTAGTCAATTGTACCAGTTTGGTTGGTGTCTACAGTGTACTAGTAAACATCATCTCTTTCCTCCTCAATATTTCCACATCCTCTCATTACGTCTTGCTTACAAAATGGCTCTACCTTAAGAAAATGACAAGTTAAAGCGATGTTGTACACTTTGGAAGAATGGACTTTATTGGTCTAATGGTCATGGTGTAGGATCACTCGTAGAGATTGTGGATGAGAGCCAGTGTGTACTAGTAATGATGTCCTGTGAGAAAGGCTGCAGTGACAATATGGTGTCTCTAAGAAGAGATGTGATAGGAGAGGTAATGAGTGTTTATAAAGAATCCTGTCCCAGTCTAGAGGTAAAAGAGTTAGTCATTGATCCTAAAGAACTAGCCTATCCTGTGAATACACCAAGAAAAAGGACAGTGTATAGTGTAAAAGCTGTGATGTCTGCTATTGTCAAGAGAGAAGAGTTTTTAGTAAATGCTACTGGTACTATACGTACAGAATTGAAGGAGATCCTACCTGATGAATCATTATCAGGTTCAGATAACCTGTCACTATTAGGAGGACGTGATATTAAGGTAAGAATTAACACACACAAAGTGTTTGTATATACATTAAAAGTACAAATGTACCTCTAGTGTTTGTCATAACTGTGGATTGCCAATGTGTGGCTTTACTACTAATAATAGGCCTCTCCCAGCTTTGTTTAGGCAAGGACTAGGCACTACTGTTGTCTATCTGTCTTTCATATATACTTGTACATCTGTTAAACTCACCTTTCAGCAATACACTATTGTTGTATATCCCTTGATAAACAAGTACAGTGACAAATATCAGTTATTATTATTATTATTATTGTATAGGAAGTGATTGAAATATCCCAAGAATTGAACACACCATTGACTCCAATAAAGCTAGGTATGTTATAATATGTACTATCAAAACTGTGAAGTAGTAGGAGTGTAGACTGTACAGTGTATATACACATTATTAATTATTATTTTTATAGATATTAAAGATCTTGATATTGTCATTGAAGAGCTAACAATACTCAATCAATTGGATTGTACTAAATGGTTTCAGTTTGGTCTTGATTTAGGATTATATGATCCTAGACTAAAGGCTATAGAAACTGACCATAGAGGAAAGACAGTGGACTGTTTCCGTGAGTGTATGTCTGCCTGGTTAAGAGGAGAAGATAAAGTGAGAGAGAAAGGAGGTCCCAGTTGGTCGTCATTAGCTACAGCACTGGATACAATAGAAGAGAAATCTATTGCTAGTTACATTAGAAATAAATATTGTTAATAATTTGGTTATTATGGTTTTGTCTTGTAACATATTACTTACTTTAAATTTCTATTATGACTTAATTTGATATAAATTTAAAGACAACTTAACAAAATAAGTGAGTGGTGAGTCTGAACAAGCTACAATAAGATGAAAAAGCAAGTG